GAGCTCAGAAACGGGAGTAAGATGCTACGCATGTGTTTGCTTGTTTTATTCCCTGTCAGGGCAACCCTTTAAATTTCCACCGTGGTGGAATTATTTTTTGTGTCCCATGTCCTAGACTTAATAATCACATAGCTTTGGTTTTTTTGTGGGTCTGATGTGTTGATGAAGGAGCTGATTTATGCCTCTTGCTGCTATACCTATGAAAAAACCTATACCACACTCCATGTGCTTTTAAAAAGTGGCATGCGGTGGTGATTTTCATGGTCTCACTCTTTACTGAAGCTATTGAACTATTCCTTTCACTGGTTTTTTTTTTTCATTTAATATTACTTTTTGAACACAACCAGTATTTTTTTCCTTACTGCTGTCCTAAAGCTGCATTCATTTCATTCATTTTAATGAGTTCCATCATCTTAGTTACCTTTAGTATTTAGTAGTTTTAAAAGTTCATTCTTTTTTTTTGTTTTTTTTTTGAAAATGCATGGTTTACTTCCTTCCCCTCTTTGCTCTTTTTTTTTTTTTCATCTTGGCCTTTTTTAGTACTCTTAAATTTTCCTGTTGAAATGACACATATATTTAATGTTTCTCCCGGGAGTTACAGGGTCTTCAGATGATAACAACACACAACAATTTACAAAACTAGAATAGAAAACTTGCAGCTACACGCCACAAAGTATGGAGCAAATCATGCAGTTATGCCTAAAATTTCAGTCTCAACAACTGAAAGATCTACAACAGCTGCCCACAGCCTTGCAACCCAGCTTCTCAAATGTGATTCTAAGGTTCCTCATGCACTTTAAAAATTTTCCCTAATAATCCCAACCACAAGACAGATGTATCTCATCATCAGTAAATTTACAATTTTTCTTATTACTATGTGCTGTCTCCCCTTGATCGCAAAGTTGTTCTTTACCTTTTCCTGGGACTTCTTGGTTCCTTTCTCTGTGTTCCCCATAAGAAATTACACCACACTAAAAAAATAAAGTTATGTTCAGAAATTAATCTAAATCTCCAACAAAGATCCCTGTTGTGGATGAGAGGCAGCAGGGCTGTGGAGAGAGGGCAGGTATTAAAGCAGAGCAGCGAGATAACCAAGGAAGAATTGAGCTGCTCTTTTCAACACTGCTTTGCCTCCACAGTTTAGGAGAAATGAACAGCAGAAGCACTTTCAAGCAAGCCTTTTTCACTGGGAAGGAAAAATATTCCACCCTTTCTTTGTCTGCTTCCCTTCAGACTCCACTACTTTGCAAAGAGACTCAGCATGGTAAAAAGGAAAAGAGAGCAGAAGCAAGACCAGCTTGCTAAGATCTCTTTTTTCCCTTGTCCCAGGTAGGTGGCATGAGCCTACGCAAGAAACCTTTCTCCTCTGATACCAGGTAAGTCCATTCTTTGAACAGTCCTTAAAGTTTCCAAAAGGAAATAAAATCATATTTTCCTCTTGCACAATGAATTCATATTAACAAGAAAACTGCTTGATTTTCTGGTTTGTGATAATTTCAAACTGCAGAATAAAATCCACATCTAATTTTTAGGGTTATCATGTTTTTGGCTTAAACACATACTTCCAATACTTATTCCATCTGAGAAGAAATCTAATCATTTAATGTTACAAATTAAATCACAGCTTCCATCACAGCTTGATGAAAAAGAAACCACACTCTATGGGCCAAAAGGATTAGTTCTAAACACAATTAACAGTGCTTGTATTCCAGACTCCATATCTTTTCTTGCATCTGTTGCATCTTTTTCCCTTTTACATTTATGTTGTGGTTGTTACAGACTGTTCTATGAAGATATGCTCCTTCTTGAAGGAAAAAAAAAAAAAAGGAAGAAAAAAAAACAGTAGCAGAACCCCTCACAAGTTGTTTGTATCTGGGTTTGCTTCTTTCTTTCCTCAGAAATGCCCTTATGGAGGTTTTGGTGCTCCGAACCTGCAGGGTGCTGGGGGGGGACCCTGGGCCGGGGAGAGGCCGCGCCGCAGCGGAGCTTCGGTACCAGGGATGGGATTGAGAGAGCTCATTCTGATTGGCTGATAGTATTCGAATCAGCGACCAATCCTAGTGTGGTGTTTAAAAAGGACCAATAGCAGAGCACTTCGGTCTGAGAATAACGTCACTACGGTAGTTGTCCAATGAAAGCGCTGCTTTCTGATACCAGCGATTTGCATAAGGGCCCTATAAATACAGCAGTAATCGCATTATCTGCCACTCCGCTGTGACTGCGCAGTCAGAGAGAGCAGCCATGCCCGAGCCGGCCAAATCCGCCCCCGCGCCCAAGAAGGGCTCTAAGAAGGCGGTGACCAAGACGCAGAAGAAGGGCGACAAGAAGCGCAAGAAGAGCCGCAAGGAGAGCTACTCCATCTACGTGTACAAGGTGCTGAAGCAGGTGCACCCCGACACGGGCATCTCGTCCAAGGCCATGGGCATCATGAACTCCTTCGTCAACGACATCTTCGAGCGCATCGCGGG